TCTAAGTTGCAAATACCCTATCGTAACCAAGCTGGCGTACATCCTCAAGCCTCCTAGTCCGAATATGCTTTCTCAACTTCAAAGTAAACCCAGATGGAGTATTGCTCTTATCCCTACAAACATGTGAAAAAAAACCCAGGAAATCAGCCACTGCTAGTGCCCAAAAAACCTTCAAATCTATAGATGATTATACCGGACATAAGCTGTGGTATGCAAACGAACACCACTTTCCATCAGGAGTAAAACCTTCTCACTCTCTCCAGATTCTGTGATGCCGCTGCTATTCAAGAGCTTGAACATATACGTCTGCAATCAATTTGCCCAAAATCAGACGAAGCCCTAAGGGAAACCAAATCAACGAATGGAGGGATTTTTGGGTATTGTGAAATTTGTACCTTGGGAGATATATCGTAGACGTTGGAGCATCTCATCCCGATTAACCGCTTCAAACACTTGACCTCTGCGGCCACGTCGGCCGTGTTCATTCGCACCTTCACCATGTCCCCCCCTCACCTTCTCTCGACAAAATTGGATTTTCACTCTCAGAATCGAATTTCTGGAAGGAGAAGAAAAGGTCCGAGGGAAGAAGACCGAACATCTCTGTTGGGCCGAAGAGAAGTTGGGCCTCTAAGTCTAATAACAAAGTTCATCCTTAGTTGGTCTTTAAATTAACCAATCATTGTTTTTGAATATACCACTAGGAGTCGAACCCCCAAAGTATTTTAAAAAATTTTGGTGTCAACATAACCAAAAATACAATTTACTTTCGACACAAATACATGTGAATATAAACTCATAATCATCACTAATGGTTTTTAAACCATGTTTATTATCGATTATCAAATTGAGGTAACCCAAATCAGATTTATAAAAACTATGTAGGAGTAGTAAACAAAAAAAACAATTTAGATCTCATTTTAGGGTTTAGACAGTAATCTAACGTTCAGCAAAATTAAATAATTTTTTTCTAAAAGATGCAACCCTAGAAAACATTTTCACATAAAACGATAGACACAACTCTATGACACATTAACAACCACTAAATATTTTTTTATCGAGAAAACACAACCTCATGATGCATTAATAACCATAAACCGATTTTTTTTCAAAAAGATGCAATTCTATGATTTGTTAATAACTATAAAACGATGTTTCGAAAAGACGCAACCCTTAGATGTTTTAGTAACCATAAAACGCTTATTTGGAAAGATGTAATTGTATAATGCATTGCTTTAATAACCATAAAACGGTTTAGAAAAAAAAAGACTGAATCCTTGATGCATTCATAACCATAAAACATATTTTTTGAAAAGACGCAACCCTTAGATGCTTTAATGACCATAAAACAGTTTTTTATAAGATGTAACTCTTGGATGTAATAATAACCGTAAAATGGTTTCTCTGAAAGGTCGCAACCCCAAAAAATTTTAATAACCATAAAATGATATTTTTAAAGACGCAACTCTAGAATGTAATTTCTAGGGTTGCTATGATTAATTCTAGAAGACGCATCCCTTAGATGTTTGAATAACTCTAAGATGTATTAATAACCATAAAACGGTTTTTCGAAAAGACGTAACTCTAAATTGTTATAATAACCATAAAACGGTTTTTTTTTTAAAAGATGCAACCCTTGGAAATAACCATAAAGCGGTTATATCGAGAAGATGCAATCTTTGGAAATAACCATAAAGCGATTATTTTCGAAAGGACACAACTATAAAAAAGTTATTTTGAAAAGACGCAATCGTTGGAAATAACCATAAAACGGTTATATAAGAAAACAAATTTTTGAAAAAGGATTATATCGAAAAAACACAATTTTTGAGAAGCGGTTATATCGACAAGATGCAGCTTTTGAAAATTACCATAAAACAATTATTTTCGAAATAACACAACCAAAAAATATTCATTTTCTAGATTCTTATTATTAATATGTTAATGCGGCTTCAATATTTCGATATATACAATCCAAAAAAATTGGTTTCAAATATAAGAATCTATGTTTCC